CCTCGTGCACGACAGTAGGCTCGCAGAAGGCCAGAGGAGAACTCTCCGCCTCTGTCCGAGTGCAGACGCAGAACAGGAAAGTCCGAGCCGAAGCTCTTCCTGAGCTGGAGACGAGCCGCGCGGATCCAGTCGATCAACACCTCAGTGACATCACCCTTGCTGCGCAAGGGGAAGACTGTGGTGTAACGCGAGTAGTCGTCAACCACCAGCAGGAAGTAGCGCTCGTGACCCTGCCCACGGACGCGGGCTGGGCCCCACACGTCCATGTGAAGCGTCTGCAGCGGAGCCTCCGTCGGAGGAAACGGGGAGGAGTGAGGGGTAGCCCGAAGGCGTCCCTCGACACAGGGGACACAGGTAGGGCCAGGCCCCGGAGGAAGGGGAGGGAGGGACCGGGGAAGACCGGAGACAAGGACACGGGAGGCCATGCTTCGGAGACGAAGCAGGGAGGGGTGACCCAGGCGGTGGTGCCAGAGGAGGGTCTCGTGAGACAGGAGGCGACACGAGCAGGGGGCAGACTCAGAACCAGACCTGGACGCTGCAGCAAACACCTGACCCGACGCAGCTACCTGACCAAACGCAGGAGGCGGAGGAGACGCGGTAGTGAGTGTGTACAGGCTCGACCCCGGCCGACGCGTAAACGTGGCCAAGTGTCGGCCCGTGTCCGCATCCGTGCAGTGGGTCACGCGCTGGCGCGGAGGGGTGAACTGGTCAACCCCCCCATCCTGTAGGTCAGCACCCGCCACCAAGTTCGTAGAGAACGAGGGGAGGTACAGACCCGACAGGGAGCCAGACGGGACCACAGGGCACGGAAGGACAGTGGAGTAGTGAGCCAAAACAGGACCCCCAGAGGGGTCTGCCAGGGAGAGTGCAACTGGCCGACTAAGCGGCGTGAGTGTGATGCGGTCTCGAAAGAAGGAGCGAGACGCCCCCGAGTCAAGTGTGAAGGTGTGTGAGGCCGGAGCCGACGCGGTACCTGAGAGAGCAGACTCACCAGCACCTGAGGAAGCAAACTCACTGGCACCTAGAGCAGCAGCCTCACTAGCACCTGGAGCAGCAGCCTCACCAGTACCTAGAGCAGCAGTCCCAATGCCCGGGTCGGGCGGGAAACACCGGTAACAGTCACCCTCATCACTAATAGTCACAGCATACATGGCACGAAGGATAGCATCAAAGTTTAGATCAAAGATAGCTACTCCTGCCCTAGACAGCTGGTCCCAGCGAGGGATCTCAGTGGCGTCAGGGAATTGGCGGCGCCAAGCGTCAGTAAGGCGGCCAAAGCAGCGTTGGGTGGGGTGCGGCCTCCCACACTCCTCACCCGCACGGTCACCAGAGCGCAGAACGTAGGTGCACGGGCCAGTACCCCCACCCCTCTGGCGTGCAGCGTACCACTCACGGAGCTGCTGAGTGGAGAGGGTCTCCTGACCGCGCTGCTGCTGCTGGCACTGACCACCACCACCCCCACCACCACCCCCACCCCCCCCGCCGCCTCCACCGCCGCCTCCACCGCCCCCGCTAGCTCCTCCAGCGCCCTTGCCCCCCTTGCCCTTGCCAGGGCGACGTCTCCCACTAGAGGTAGACGCCGCACCGACCGACTCGAAACCAACGAGGTCGGCCGTAGCAGCAGAGGCAACAGAGGGCAAAAGGCGGGAGGGGGAACACCCCTCAAAGATGGGGGTGCGCGGGTCACCACGAGAGGCTCCTACAGCTAGTATGCTCTTCTCTGCTGCTAGGAGGTCCTTCTCGAGGAGGTCAACAGTGAGAGTGGTGGGGCAGACTGAGAGAAAGTGGTCCCTGACTGCGCGAAGGGAGTCAGGGAGGCGGGTGACTATGTAGTAGAGGGTGATGTACATGGGGGGGGGGGGGTTCTTGGCGCAGAACTCAGCAGGAAGCGCAGCGCGGTAGCGAGTGTCACTAGTGCGGAGGTGTGTAATGAGGTCAGCGACTGTGGCAAAGGCAGTAAGGTCAGGAAAGAGGTACGGTAGCATGAGGCGGCTCAGTGCAGCAGTGGCGGGGGAGGAGTAGCGTGCAACTACAGCGTCGTACAAGGTCCTAGCACTCTTGTACTGGCTAAAGTGCGCACGCTCAGAGGTAGGCAGGTGGCGACGCACAGCAAGACGTGCAGTAGCATCGCGTGTGGCCCACTGTGAGCGAACAGTGGCGTCAGCATCGGCAGTGGGGGCAGGGGAGGCACCAGACGTGAGGTCAAAGAGGGAGAGACCGTCTGCCCTATCGCACTGTAAGAAGAGCTGGAGGTCGTCTACCCAGACGTCAAAGTCAATGGCACGGCCCTCAGCGTCAAAAGTGAGGACACTGGGGGTAGCCATGACAGCAGTAGACTAGCAGCGCAGGCAGTGGGGTGAGGGCAGTGCGGAGAGGGAGGCGCTGCTCTTACCAGACAGGGGCAACAGCTATCACCGATGACGGTCTGCTGCACTTGACAGGTCTCTCCTCTCTCAAAGAGCTGGACATTTCTGAATGCAAAGGTGTGACAGATGGGGGCATGGTGCATGTGGGGAGGCTGACAGGGCTTGAGAGGCTTCATCTGGATTACACGGCAGTCACAGATGATGGGCTGCAGCAGCTGACTGCCCTGACCAAGCTGACAAAATCCTGGCTGAATGCGGTACGCAGGCGGTTAGGCAGTCAGGGTGGCAGGCTGTGACTGGCTGCGGGAGACTGAGGGGTGTGGAGCCAAGGGGTGTGACGAACGAGGGGAGGAGGCATGCATGCGGAGGAGTGAGGCATGGAATGGTTGCTGGACGGGAGCAGGTGCAGGGCGTTTTGGGTAGGAGGCCATGCCTTTGAGTGGACTCAAAAGGAGGTCATGCCCAAATAATAGCATGCAGTTGGACAGATCCAGGTGTAGAGGCTACGTAAAGAGCCATGACTGCCTGGCTTTAAATGTGTATGTGATGTTTCTGCAATATGATCAATACAGTCAAACATCCATTACTTTGTCTACAAAGAGCATGGCTGACCTAAGTTTGTGTGCACGAGTGGCAGTGGCTGGCGTGATAGCATTCAAAGGGGTATGCTGTTGGGGTGTGAAACAGGAAGAAGTGGGCCTGCGTGTGAATGGATAGGAAAGGGGCAGATAGATGTGATGCATGCTGCTGCTCACATGAGCTCCAACCCAAGCACCCCTGCTTGCAATGTCCCTGACGAGATTGGCATACTGATACATAATTCTCTCATGACCAGCATCTGATATGGATGAAGCTGCTGCTAGTGGCAGCAGGCAGCAACACTGTGGGAGAAGCTGACTCCCTGAATCTAAAAGCAATGATTTCAGTGCGTGCTGCAATTATCCAAACCGCTCGGCCAACTCTCCTCTAAGACCATTGTGTGTCACCGCTACCCACCACAACAGATTTGACATGCTTCTGAACGTCTGTTCTGAAGACACAGTGGCATGGGCATAGGGGGAAGAGGGGCGGGGGCAGGAGGTTGGGCAGGGAAAGGGAAGGTGGGGTTGGGTTTGTGGCGCCTCTCTGCTGCAATCAACCAGTCACCGAGGAGGAGAGAGAGGAGGGAGTACACGGAAAACGAGGGTGGGGTGAGGGTTGGAGTGGTGGGGGAGGGGGCTCTCCACTGGGGAAGAAGGGAAAGAAAGAGATGTCAGCGGGGGATGGAGGGGTGGGGGTGGAGGGGGATTGGGTGACAGAAGGCGGTCTTGACGCAGAAGATGGCGAAATAAGAGAAAGGTGCTGTCTGCAGGTGCAAAGGCTACGGCTTGTGCTATAATGCTGGAATGGGAGGATCAAGCTGATGGTCTGAAAACAACGAGGATCCAGGATAAGGAGTAACACACGGTTTGTGCACAGGATGAGTGTTAATGAGGGGCACAGCACGATGAGATGGATGGCATGATATGATGATATCAATGGTACGTTGGGATAGTACAATAGACTGCTGAAAGCTGGCAGGCATTGGAAGAGCTGAATGGGGTGGGGGGGGCTGTTGAGTATGAGGACGAGACATTAAAGCGAGCAGGCAAAATAGTGACCCCCTTTTCTAGTTGGGTCCAGGTTGAAATGGGTGAAGTGGCGGGAAGGAGTGTGGGTGGACGGCCAATTTTTACGCGCCAAAAGAAATGAGGCATGTGGATTCGCAGGAGGGGCGAAAAAAACGAGCAGGGCCCAGTTGATCGCACATGTGGTTAATAGCATTGTGAGGCATCAGCAAGCGAACCTGCTACTCGCCCAATCATGTATAGGCTTTGCATCTTCTGGTTGGACCAGTGATGACAAAATGAACACTCCAGCAGCACCTGCCACCCGCGACAAAACACCCCTATTGAAACCGAGTGGACACAACACACAACTGAAATGAGCAGGGCCCATCTCGAACACACCCTGCCTACCCCCTGAAGGCGACCAAATCCGCCCGACTCTGACTAGCCTAGCTATAGCACCTCCCGCGGTGATTAGGCGAAGCTAGTGATGAGTCCGTTTAGGCACGGCGCCACGCGCGCAAGCGCGCTGCCAGAACCGCCTGAAAACAAGCATGCGCGGATGTGTGCGGGTGAACATGTGTGTGCCTGTTTCAGATACAGTGCACGTGACAGAGTTGATCGCGCCACTGCTTATAAGCGAACCTCTCCTCGTCGCTTCCACCATTTTATTTCCCACGCGCTTCTCCTCGTCGCCCCCGCCTCGTTATTTCCCACGCGCGTCCGACCGATTTGGCAGTTTAGCAAGATTAGCATTGGCATACACTAAACAATCCTGCCGATGTACCCTTACGCAAAGGTGAGGTAGTATACGTCGACGTCATAATGCTGATCGCTAAATTCTTGCAGTGATTACCGTGTGCGAATACACACACCGTTCGAGTCAAATGGCCTCGGGTGTGTCGGGTCATCAAAGCTGCAGGCATTTGGCGGGTCAGTAGTTAGGGTTGAGGCCTTGTTGTAACTTCGAGCAGACCTGGGGACGGGTTTGAGACCAGTTGGGGTAGGTGACACCCAGGTAAACTGCGTTGGGGGTGAGGGCCACCCATCAATTTTCCTGAGTCTCCTCGTCGCCTTCGCCTCGTCTCCCAGGACCGAGTGGGAGAGACAAAGGGGCAAGGACACAGGGGGAGAGACAGAGGGGGAAGGACAGATTGGGAGAGGCAGAAGGGGAAGGACAGAGGGGGAGAGACAGCAGGCTAAGGACAGAGGGGGAGAGACAGCAGGCTAAGGACAGAGGGGGAGAGACAGCAGGCTAAGGACAGAGGGGGAGGAACAGAGGGGGAGGGGCAGACAGGGGTGTGACAGAGGGAGAGAGCCTGTACTTCCCTCACTCCCTCTCCCCGTCGCCCTCACTTCTAGCATCACTGTTTACACCCCTCTGCATTGGACCCTACCACCCTTTCTCCCACCAGCTCTGTTTACCCCCCAATCTATTCTCCTTTCCCTCTCCCTGCTTCCCCCCTCCCTCCTCTCTGCCTCCCCCCTCACTCCTCCCTGCTTCCCCCCACCATCAGAGTGGTGAGCGCCACACACCAGGTGAGGCTTCACTTTCTCCATATGCACCCCTCCTCTTCCTCCCCCTACCCATGTACCCCTCCTCTCTCGTGCACGCCCTAATTCCCCCCCTCCCCCACCCTGCTTCCCCCCATCCCCTTCCCTGCTTCCCCCATCCCCTTCCCAGCTTCCCCCCATCCCCTTCTCTGCTTCCCCCCATCCCCTTCCCTGCTTCCCCCCATCCCCTTCCCTGCTTCCCCCCATCCCCTGCCCGGCTTTCCCCCTCCATATCCTCAGGTGATATCTCCCCACACGGCGAAATGGGGAAATGGGGAAGGGGAAATGGGAAAGAGACAGAAGGAAGGGGAAATGGGGAAGGGACAGAAGGAAGGGGAAATGGGGAAGGGACAAAAGGAAGGGGAGATGGGGAAGGGACAGAAGGAAGGGGAAATGGGGAAGGGACAGAAGGAAGGGGAAATGGGGAAGGGACAGAGGGAAGGGGAAATGTAGAAGGAACAGAGGGAAGGGGAAATGGCGAGGGACAGAGGGAAGGGGAAATGGGGAAGGGACAGAAGGAAGGGGAAATGGGGAAGGGACAGAAAAAAGGGGAAATGGGGAAGGGACAGAGGGAAGGGGAAATGGGGAAGGGACAGAGGGAAGGGGAAATGGGGAAGGGACAGAGGGAAGGGGAAATGGGGAAGGGACAGAAGGGAAGGGGAAATGGGGAAGGGACAGAAGGAAGGGGAAATGGGGAAGGGACAGAAGGAAGGGGAAATGGGGAAGGGACAGAAGGAAGGGGAAATGGGGAAGGGACAGAAGGAAGGGGAAATGGGGAAGGGACAGAAGGAAGGGGAAATGGGGAAGGGACAGAAGGAAGGGGAAATGGGGAAGGGACAGAAGGAAGGGGAAATGGGGAAGGGACAGAGGGAAGGGGAAATGGCGAGGGACAGAGGGAAGGGGAAATGGGGAAGGGACAGAAGGAAGGGGAAATGGGGAAGGGACAGAAGGAAGGGGAAATGGGGAAGGGACAGAAGGAAGGGGAAATGGGGTTGGTACTTTCGGAGGGTGAAAGGAAGAGGGGCAAAGGGAAGGGGGAATGGGGAGTGACACACAGGGAAAAAGGGAAATGGGGAGGGACAGGGGGTAGGGGAAATGGGGAAGGGACAGAAGGAAGGGGAAATGGGGAAGGGACAGAAGGAAGGGGAAATGGGGAAGGGACAGAAGGAAGGGGAAATGGGGAAGGGACAGAGGGAAGGGGAAATGGGGAAGGGACAGAGGGAAGGGGAAATGGCGAGGGACAGAGGGAAGGGGAAATGGGGAAGGGACAGAGGGAAGGGGAAATGGGGAAGGGACAGAAAAAAGGGGAAATGGGGAAGGGACAGAGGGAAGGGGAAATGGGGAAGGGACAGAGGGAAGGGGAAATGGGGAAGGGACAGAGGGAAGGGGAAATGGGGAAGGGACAGAAGGGAAGGGGAAATGGGGAAGGGACAGAAGGAAGGGGAAATGGGGAAGGGACAGAAGGAAGGGGAAATGGGGAAGGGACAGAAGGAAGGGGAAATGGGGTTGGTACTTTCGGAGGGTGAAAGGAAGAGGGGCAAAGGGAAGGGGGAATGGGGAGTGACACACAGGGAAAAAGGGAAATGGGGAGGGACAGGGGGTAGGGGAAATGGGGAGTGACAGGGGCAAGGGGATTTGAATTTGTACAGAAAGGGGAAATGGGGAGGTCCGAGAAAAGGGGAAATGGGGAGGGACAGAGGGAAGGGGATAAGGGGAGTGACAGGGACCAGGGGAAATGCTGAGCGACTGGGGGAAGGGGAAATATGGAGTGACAGGGGAAAGGGGAAATGGCGAGGGACACAGGGAAGGGGAAATGGGGAAGGGACAGAGGGAAGGGGAAATGGGGAAGGGACAGAGGGAAAGGGAAACCGAGAGGGACGGAGGGAAGAGGAAATTCGGTTGGGTCTTTAGGAGGGTGAAATGAAGAGGGGCAGAGGAGGGCAGAGTCAGGGAGTGAGTCCTGGGCCGGGCCTAGGCTGCTGATGTCTGTTCGCACGGGTGGCCTGGGGCAGACACATTGGACATAGGGGGAATGGCTGGGAAAACGGGCAAGCGAGGGTGTGTGGGACGGCGACCTTCCATGGGCCCCAATGCCGATCAACCCCTCTTTCAAGCCTCGAAAGGGTGTTAAGAGGATGGGTGATGTGGGAAGGTTGTGAAGAGGAGCGTGATGGGTGTGACGGTATGAGCAAGGTAGGTGGGGGCGCACAGGTGAACACCAGGCATGCACCAGGTACACACCTGAGCGGGGACACTCACACTAGCACACACTTGCGGCGTCGCGCAAATCAAGCCCGTCAGGGGTCTTGACGGCTAAGTCAGCGGGGGCGCGAATGCACGACTGGAAATGGGGAAACGGGGTGGGACAAATGGGAAGGGGAATTGCAGAGGGATTGGAGAAAAGAGGAATTGGGGAGGGACAGAGGGATGGGAGTGCAGTGCCTTGCTCTCCAAACGAATTAGAGTAGGCGAGGCACTGTGACTTGCACTCCGTCTGAAAAAGAGCAGGCGCGGCACTGTGCCTTGCGCACCACGTGAAAACGAGCAGGTGCGGCGCCGCGCCTTGAATTTCGTGTGAAAACGAGCAGGCGCGTCGCTTTGCCTTGAATTCCGTGTGAAACTGATGAGGCGCGTTGCTGTGCCTTGCATTCCGTGTGAAAACGAGCAGGTGTGGAAACGAGCAGGCGCGGCGCCATGCATCAGGCATTCCGTGCCTAAACGAGAAGCGCGGCGCTGTGCCTTGCATTCCGCACGGATCTAGTAGCCAAGGTTGAAGGCCTTGCAATCCGTGCGAAAGCTGAATAATAGGTGCAGCGTTGAGCCTATGCAATGTCGAACACAAGCGCGCTCCAGTGCTTCGCGATGCATTGTGTTCGTACGTGACGGGTGTGGCGACGTGGCTTCTAATCTGTTGGAAAACGAGTAGGGACGACTTGCAGTTTGTTCTACTGCGATGCGCAGCATATCACAAGGCCTTCTAGACACGGTCGCGTGCGTAAACTGCTGGGAATATCACGCAGCCCGTTTTTGGTGCTCGACATGCTGCAGGAGTGACATGCGAGTAGTAAAGGCTTGCATCCTAACGCTCTGTTCTGGCTGATACTGACGGCGCCAGCAGTGAGAAGGCACACGATTGACAGCTATGACCGAAACCGAAATACAACGCTACGCGCGCGGCCCCTTTCCCCCGTAACTAAACTGTGCAGGGTTTCACTCCCTTTGCTCTTGAGTCTCTGGTGCCGTGGGACGAGCAAAATAGTAAGCTATGACTAGCTAGCGTGCAACCCAGGTCCACTTTGAAGCTCAAATTGGGCCCGGTGGATTCAGTCTTGCGCACTTCTGTTTTTTGCACCTGTTTTTGTGGTTCTGTTCCCAGCGCTTCAGTTCATTTCGTGTACTCCTCTCGCAGGAGAGCGTGACATTCGTTTTCGTTCCCATGTCGCAGAGCGCAACCCACGCGTTCCCTGGCATTGCTTGCGAGCAGACCCACCAATGCCATAGTTCGCATTCGACCCTATAACTCGTTGTCCAATCAAATGTTTTTTCCAGCCTCGCTCCTCGAAATGACACGGCTCAAATGAATAGTGCGCCACTTCTTGTCGAGCCCAGAGCACCCTCTGGAAACAGTGCCAGAGTTTCAAACTGGGCCTTGGGTCACTATTTTGCCTGCTCGCTTTAAAACCAGGGTCCCACGTAGATCATTTGTTTTGCAGTTGATGGGAAAACCCCGTTTCTTATTGGTTGACGAGGTTGGAACAACGAAAAGCGGGGCAGCGAGGGATGCGAAGTGAACAAAATCGTTTGCTGTGTTCCAAACCTTCTAGGTATGGAAACAGGTTCGGAGCCGAAGCTACAGTGCCAGTGAAATGTCAAGAGTTGTCGAAAGTCTCATGTACCTGAAATTTGTTTTGCAATTGGTGCTGAGGCAAAAGTGGGGGAGTGTCGCACGCCAACTTCCCTAGCCAACCAGTCCGCCTCGCCTAGAAAAACAAGGTAACTCAGCCTCAAATGTTTTGCAGTTGATGGCAGAATCTCTTACTTGAGACTAAGTAAGGGAATAAGTGAGGGAGGGAAGGAAAGAAAGGGGGGAGACAAGGAGATGACAGGAGAGAGTGGAAGAAGGATGCCAGATGGGAGGGACATGTAGGACATGGGAAGGAATGAGGGAAGAAGAGGGGGAGAGTGGGTGGTGGTGTGGGGTGGATTGCTTGTCTCACCTGTGATGACGTCATCTGCCATCAAGAAAGGGGTTTGTGGGTGGTTGGCTCCATGTGCCGCGTCACCCTCTCTCCCCTCCCACCACTACCATGGTGGCAAGGCCGTGAATTGAGGCTGGCTTTAGAACGCAGAAGAGATTTAAGGGGGTGGGAAGGGGGAGGAGAGGTGTGTGAATGGGGGGAAGCAGGACCGTCTGGGAGAAAGCGAGGCTTTAAAGCAAGGGTGCACATTCCTAGGGGCGGTTTTTGGGTGTGTTGGTTTGGTTCACCCGTTAGGGTGCTATGAATGGTTGGCAAAGAGTCCAACCATATGAAACACTGGAGCGAGGGTTGGAGAATGTGCTGGCGAACACAAAAACAATTCGTCCGCGAGTTGGGTTGGGGGAACAGACGACGGAAGGTGAGGCAAGTGATAAACCTTTGCCTCCACCCCCCCCAAAGTGCACCCTTGCTTTAAGAAAATAAGAGGAAGGATGGATGTAGGGAAGAGAGTTGATAGCACAGGTACATGGGGGAGAACGCGTGCAGCGGCAAAGGGTGGGGTGAAGGGGGGGATGAATAGAAACGGCAAATCAGCAGCCAGGCAACTCAAGAGGTATACTCGCTCTGTGCAAGGGCGCATTCGGTTCTCGCACTGGGTTCCTGTAAAGGAAGGGCTGCAAGAAGGATCATGAGTGTGAAGCTCACGAGGACGGAAGGGGGATGATGGCAGGATAACAGGAGCGCTAAAGATTGTGCCAAAGTGCAAGCATGTGCCCACCTAATTGCTCTGCTCCATGCCACCCCATGTGCTCCATGCCACCCCATGTGCTCCATGCCACCCCATGTGCTCCATGCCACCCCATGTGCTCCATGCCACCCCATGTGCTCCATGCCACCCCATGTGCTCCATGCAACCCCATGTGCTCCATGCCAACCCATGTGCTCCATGCAACCCCATGTGCTCCATGCCACCCCATGTGCTCCATGCCACCCCATGTGCTCCATGCCACCCCATGTGCTCCATGCCACCCCATGTGCTGCATGCCACCCCATGTGCGCCATGCCACCCCATTTGCGCCATGCCACCCCATGTGCTGCATGCCACCCCATGTGCTGCATGCAACCCCATGTGCTCCATGCCACCCCATGTGCTCCATGCCACCCCATGTGCTCCGTGCCACCCCATGTGCTGCATGCCACCCCATGTGCTGCATGCCACCCAATGTGCTCCATGCAACCCCATGTGCTCCATGCCACCCCATGTGCTCCATGCCACCCCATGTGCTGCATGCCACCCCATGTGCGCCATGCCACCCCATTTGCGCCATGCCACCCCATGTGCTGCATGCCACCCCATGTGCTGCATGCCACCCCATGTGCTCCGTGCCACCCCATGTGCTCCATGCCACCCCATGTGCTCCATGCCACCCCATGTGCTCCATGCCACCCCATGTGCTCCATGCGACCCCATGTGCTCCATGCCACCCCATGTGCTCCATGCCACCCCATGTGCTCCATGCCACCCCATGTGCTGCATGCCACCCCATGTGCTGCATGCCACCCCATGTGCTCCATGCCACCCCATGTGCTGCATGCCACCCCATGTGCTGCATGCCACCCCATGTGCTGCATGCCACCCCATGTGCTGCATGCCACCCCATGTGCGCCATGCCACCCCATGTGCTCCATGCCACCCCATGTGCTCCATGCCACCCGATGTGCTTCATGCCACCCCATGTGCTCCATGCCACCCCATGTGCGCCATGCCACCCCATTTGCGCCATGCCACCCCATGTGCTGCATGCCACCCCATGTGCTGCATGCCACCCCATGTGCTGCATGCCACCCCATGTGCTCCATGCCACCCCATGTGCTCCATGCAACCCCATGTGCTCCATGCCACCCCATGTGCTCCATGCCACCCCATGTGCTCCATGCCACCCCATGTGCTCCATGCCACCCCATGTGCTCCATGCCACCCCATGTGCTCCATGCCACCCCATGTGCTCCATGCCACCCCATGTGCTCCATGCCACCCCATGTGCTCCATGCCACCCCATGTGCTCCATGCCACCCCATGTGCTCCATGCCACCCCATGTGCTGCATGCCACCCCATGTGCTGCATGCCACCCCATGTGCGCCATGCCACCCCATGTGCTGCATGCCACCCCATGTGCTGCATGCCACCCCATGTGCGCCATGCCACCCCATGTGCTGCATGCCACCCCATGTGCTGCATGCCACCCCATGTGCGCCATGCCACCCCATGTGCTCCATGCCACCCCATGTGCTCCATGCCACCCCATGTGCTGCATGCCACCCCATGTGCTGCATGCCACCCCATGTGCCGCATGCCACCCCATGTGCTCCATGCCACCCCATGTGCTCCGTGCCACCCCATGTGCTGCATGCCACCCCAATGTGCTGCATGCCACCCCATGTGCTCCATGCAACCCCATGTGCTCCATGCCACCCCATGTGCTCCATGCCACCCCATGTGCTGCATGCCACCCCATGTGCGCCATGCCACCCCATTTGCGCCATGCCACCCCATGTGCTGCATGCCACCCCATGTGCTGCATGCCACCCCATGTGCTGCCACCCCATGTGCTCCATGCCACCCCATGTGCTCCATGCCACCCCATGTGCTCCATGCCACCCCATGTGCTCCATGCGACCCCATGTGCTCCATGCCACCCCATGTGCTCCATGCCACCCCATGTGCTCCATGCCACCCCATGTGCTGCATGCCACCCCATGTGCTCCATGCCACCCCATGTGCTGCATGCCACCCCATGTGCTGCATGCCACCCCATGTGCTGCATGCCACCCCATGTGCTGCATGCCACCCCATGTGCTGCATGCCACCCCATGTGCGCCATGCCACCCCATGTGCTCCATGCCACCCCATGTGCTCCATGCCACCCCATGTGCTCCATGCCACCCCATGTGCTCCATGCCACCCCATGTGCGCCATGCCACCCCATTTGCGCCATGCCACCCCATGTGCTGCATGCCACCCCATGTGCTGCATGCCACCCCATGTGCTGCATGCCACCCCATGTGCTCCATGCCACCCCATGTGCTCCATGCAACCCCATGTGCTCCATGCCACCCCATGTGCTCCATGCCACCCCATGTGCTCCATGCCACCCCATGTGCTCCATGCCACCCCATGTGCTCCATGCCACCCCATGTGCTCCATGCCACCCCATGTGCTCCATGCCACCCCATGTGCTGCATGCCACCCCATGTGCTGCATGCCACCCCATGTGCGCCATGCCACCCCATGTGCTGCATGCCACCCCATGTGCTGCATGCCACCCCATGTGCGCCATGCCACCCCATGTGCTGCATGCCACCCCATGTGCTGCATGCCACCCCATGTGCGCCATGCCACCCCATGTGCTCCATGCCACCCCATGTGCTCCATGCCACCCCATGTGCTGCATGCCACCCCATGTGCCGCATGCCACCCCATGTGCTCCATGCCACCCCATGTGCTGCATGCCACCCCATGTGCGCCATGCCACCCCATGTGCTCCATGCCACCCCATGTGCTCCATGCCACCCCATGTGCTCCATGCCACCCCATGTGCTCCATGCCACCCCATGTGCGCCATGCCACCCCATGTGCGCCATGCCACCCCATGTGCGCCATGCCACCCCATGTGCGCCATGCCACCCCATGTGCGCCATGCCACCCCATGTGCTCCATGCCACCCCATGTGCGCCATGCCACCCCATGTGCGCCATGCATGCGGCTAGCTCTACTCACGTGGAGCTGATGATGGGCGCCTGTGGCCGATCCTCTGGCGTGGGAGACTCAAAGCGGTACCTGCAAGCACAGGGGGGTGGAAAAGGGAGGCGAGGGATGGGAGGGGTGGGGAGGGATGGGGAGGGGTGGGAGGGGTGGGAAAGGGTGGGGAGGGGCGGGAGGGGCGGGAGGGGTGGTAAGGACGATGAAGCGAGGACACGTGTGGGTAAGGCTAGCAAACGCGCTTGGCAGGAAACGCTGTAGTGAAACACGAAAGCACGGAGGAGAGAGGGGCGCAGTTCAGGGCGAGTTATTTGTTCACTGAAGCTTAAGCACCAAGCAGTGTGTGAAGTGAAGCGTTATACGTCAATAACCAAGCCAAGCCCTCCACTCACTCCCCCCATTCCCTCACTTCCCCCCTCTACCCCCCCCTCCCAAATCCCACTAACTCCCACTACGGGGTGGGAGGCACGGGGTGGGAGAGGCACGGGGTGGGAGGCACGGGGTGGGAGGCACGGGGTGGGAGGCACGGGGTGGGAAGCACGAGGGGGGGAGGTACGGGGTGGGAGGCACGGGTTGAGCTGCAGCTCAATACCACGCTTGAAGTTGAACCACACCCCATCAACCCCCATGCACACTAACCTGGGATGGTTGAAGCAACGGAGAGCAGAGAGAGCCGCGGGCTCCTTGAAGCTCTCCAGAGGAGAGGCAGTGTGGATCCCGATTTGCGATGTTGGACAAGACAGGCCCAGCACAGCACGTTAGAGCTGATCTGAGATGCGTTAAGAGAACTCTCAAAGATCTGGGGAGAGTGTCCCATGAGGGGCGTGCGGATGAGCGTGTCCTAGAAGTACAAATGCTGCGCGCCCGTGGGGGGGAAGACAAGAGAGAGCTGGTTGCTGCAACTTGCGTGCTGAGCAGCAGCTCCCGCCACTTCCAAATACACGCCTGGTGTGTTGCTTAGAGAAGGTAGGAAAGGGAAGGGGAAGAAAGAGAAGGGGAAGCAAGAGAGTAGTCACCGCTTGTGGGGATGAAATGGAAGTAAGATCTTGTCGTTGAAGGGCGTGTTGAACAGAAGCCATCCCTGCCTGCCACTCCCCCACCATGCCTAGGAGGTTAAGAGGAGGATAAGGGGAGGAGAGGGAGGAAAAGGGGACTGAAACTGGAGGGGAAGGGAGACCTTGAGGGTTCTTGCCTGTCTGTGGATGACAGGAAGGTACCATCCACTCAACCGTGTATAAGTGCAATAGTCCTACAAATTATGCACACACATGCACATGCACGCATTGCGGCCCCCCATCCACCCATCCCATGTTCACCATGCATCGGGGTGCAAATCTTGTACCTCATATTCCAAATCTCCTCTGCTCGTCGTGTCGCTTGTCGCCTCTGCTGTCTCCTTGGCTCGCCTCAAATGCTCTTCCTGCCTCTGGCTGGCAGGTCGTGCCACGTGCCCACACATGCTGTCAGCGCTAGTGAGCAGGAGGTGTTTAAGAGAGTGGGGTGAGCGGGAAGGAATGATGCATGCATGAGGGAGGTGAAGGGGTACGAAAGCAGGGGAAGCAGGGGCGCAAGCATGAGCGCAGGAACGCACAGGCCGCACCGTGGGGGGGGGAATGGAGAACAAGAGTGGGAACGGGGAAGGGGAAGAGGTAAGACAGCAAGCAAGGACAGCAATGGAGGCATTGCGGCATGGGGCCACAAACACGGTGCAGTAGGTGAGTGTGAGAGCGGGAAACAGAGAGGAACGACAGGAGGGAGGGAGCAACACAATTTCATTTGTAACAGAGGAGCAGGAGTAGCACTTGCAAGTTGCAAGCAACTTGGAAGTCCTACTATAAAAAATTGGATTATAGCACTTCCATGTAAGCAATGAGGTCTGGCTCACCCGAGTTCGAGAATGGGGAAGGCAGAGTGACCCCTCCAGTCTGGTTTGGACCTCCAGGTCCAACCACTCTCTTTCCTCCTAAAGCAGCTGCCCGACCTACGGCAGTACCGCGTTGCTCCATGTGGAATTCCGCCACTTTTGGGCGGTAAGCGCCCGTGAATACCCTTTTATCGTGGGAGGGAAAGCAGATCGTGAATATATTGAACGCGCTCAGTGACTTAAGCAGGGTGCCCGAAAAAAAACGACTTGACCATTTTCGGGGCGGGCTCCGTGGATTCGAGTGACCAGGTAAAGTTCATGTGTGTGCCAACGCAGCCAGTCACTCTGCGCACACTCGTTCATGAACCCGAAAGTGCGCGCACAGATGGCCACTCGTTCAACCCGAAAAAGAAATAAACCAAGTGCGCGCAGCGCGGTCTCGTTGGTGCCAACGCAGCCAGTCGTCAGTTTGCAAACACCATTCACCTGGGACAGCAGTTGTTGGCAAACAACTCTGATTGGTCCTTTTTGAGAGCACATGTAATATATATGTGGCAACGTGGCACAAGGGATGCACAAACGTGACGCGGCGTCGGCCTAAACAGAGCTGTGCTGGCAATAAGCGGCACGATACACGTGATGGGCGATTAGACGCTCTAAAGAATGGGGAATCCTGTGCTGGATCAGGATTTCTGCAGTTCTCAATTTCTTTAAAAATGTTACAATTGCATTTTTTAGAACCAGCAAGGGTAGCAAAATACATGCAAATTAATTAAGACGAAGCAAAGGACTTAAGCAAACATACATGCAGCAAGACTGCATGTTAACTGTAAATCGGTGCAGCAAGCACCCCTATTGACGAAGTCCCCGATGTTAATTGGTATAGTGTGAGAGCAATGCCCTACTTCATTATCTTCATGGGTTGATGAGTCGAAACTTACGGTATTCAGGCAGAACATTTCTCGATGATATTTGGTTTGGGAATATCTGACGACTACGGTGCCAAAGACGGTGAACGCAGCTCCACGTGGAATGCGGCACGAACGTGCCAGACATCTGCAAATAGCAATAACAATGGCGTTGACTGTTGGCGTGGGCTGTCACAGTTTCATCGTCTAGCTGCTTCTCTAGCACCATTGAGTGAAATCACATTCGGAAAGTTTTTCTGTTACATTGCCGCAGCAACTGGTTTGAGCTGATCCACACAACAACGCAACGCGTGACGCTTGGTAGTGCGGTCGCTGGCCAGAAACCATGCAATGATTGGCCAGTACGAAGGAGGACATCGTTTCATGATCTAGGAGATTATATTAGCACCAAATCTTCACACATTCATGCATTTCATCTCAGAATCCCAACCACTAGACCATTGGGATAAAAGGGCTTGTTTCAGTAGCGGGTAAGTGCGCCCATAACCCCCCAGGCAAACGTGCCTGTAACCCTTCCCTAGGATCGATCGGGGATCACCAGTGGACCTCTGACACCCCCCCGCACTAGGATGCCCGAAGTGCATACACCGGGATTCGAACCCGAGACCTTCGCTCTGGATACCATCTCAGAATCCCAACCACTAGACCATTGTGATAAAAGGGCTTGTTTCAGTAGCGGGTCAGTGCGCCCATAACCCCCCAGGCAATCGTGCCTGTAACCCTTCCCTAGGATCGATCGGGGATCACCAGTGGACCTCTGACACCCCCCCGCACTAGGATGCCCGAAGTGCATACACCGGGATTCGAACCCGAGACCTTCGCTCTGGATACCATCTCAGAATCCCAACCACTAGACCATTGTGATAAAAGGGCTTGTTTCAGTAGCGGGTCAGTGCGCCCATAACCCCCCAGGCAATCGTGCCTGTAACCCTTCCCTAGGATCGATCGGGGATCACCAGTGGACCTCTGACACCCCCCCGCACTGGGATGCCCGAAGTGCATACACCGGGATTCGAACCCGAGACCTTCGCTCTGATACCATCTCAGAATCCCAACCACTAGACCATTGGGATAAAAGGGCTTGTTTCAGTAGCGGGTATGTGCGCCCATAACCCCCCAGGCAAACGTGCCTGTAACCCTTCCCTAGGATCGATCGGGGATCACCAGTGGACCTCTGACACCCCCCCGCACTAGGATGCCCGAAGTGCATACACCGGGATTCGAACCCGAGACCTTCGCTCTGGATACCATCTCAGAATCCCAACCACTAGACCATTGGGATAAAAGGGCTTGTTTCAGTAGCGGGTCAGTGCGCCCATAACCCCCCAGGCAATCGTGCCTGTAACCCTTCCCTAGGATCGATCGGGGATCACCAGTGGACCTCTGACATTTCAAACATTTACATTGTCACAGAAACTCGAGTGACGCTCATCCGCACAGCTAGGCAGCAAGTGACGCTTCTTTGAGCGTTCGATGGCTAGAACTTGTGCATGGATAGGTCAGGGCGCAACATGTCACGATTTCATTGGGTATCTGCTTGTTTTTTTACTCACACTCTTTCACTCACCCATTCTATTCAAGAAATAACCTTGTCTTAGGAACTCGTCCGAGGTCATTTGCACAAATACGCAACAAATGACGCTCCTGTGTGCGTCTGACGACTGAAACAGTTCGAGGATAGGCCATGGCGCAACATGTGACCGCTTCATTGTCTCGCGGATTTTTCTAGCAACAATTCTACAAGAAAATAGGTACTGAATACAAGTAACTTGCCTTAGGAACTCGATTTGAGTTTAGTCTCAAAAGTACGCGACACGCGACGCTTCATTGTGCGTTCGATGGTCTGAACCTGGGCGAGGATAGGTCGGGGCGTTATGTGTCACCGTTCCATCATCTATATGTTTTTTTTCTCAGAATCCCAACCACTAGACCATTGGGATAAAAGGGCTTGTTTCAGTAGCGGGTCAGTGCGCCCATAACCCCCCAGGCAAATGTGCCTGTAACCCTTCCCTAGGATCGATCGGAGATCACCAGTGGACCTCTGACATTTTTAGCACCATTCAAAACTCGTGTAGGTACTCCAGTTAGTTAGCTTACCAAAGGAACTCGTTTGAGATCTGTCGCACGAGTACGCAGCCCGTGAGCCTTCATTGTGCGTTTGATGGTCTGACCATGTGCGATGATAGGCCAGGGCGCAACATCTCACCGTACCAACGTCTTGCTGTTTCACATAGCAACAATTACACACTCATTCAGGTACTCTAGTCAATTACCTTGCTGTACGAACTTGTTTGAGTTCATTCGCACAAGTACGCAGCACGTGGCGCTTCTTTGTGCGTTCGATGGCCTGAAACTTTGCTAGGGCATGCCAGGCCGCACCATGCCACTGTTTTATCGTCTCGCGAATATCCCAAGCACCAATTCTACACTCATTTAGGACATGTAGTCAATTACATTGCCATAGGACTACCGTTTGAGATCTTTCAAGCAAGTACGCAACACGTGACGCGTCAATCTGCGTTTGAAGGTCTGAACCTGGCGACGATAGGTTAGGGCGCTACATGTCACCGTTTAGTCGTCTTGCTTGTTTCACCTCCACCAATTCTACACTCATCAAGTACTGTATTCATTTACCTTGTCATAGGATCTCGTCTGAGTTCATTCGCACAACAACGCATCAAGTGACTCGCCTTTGAGCGCTTGACGTCATGAAAAAATGATATGATATGCCAGGGCACAACATGTTACCGCTTCAACGTCTCGCGTTTATGTTAGCAACTATTGTACACTCATGCAAGTACCCTAGCCTATTACCATGCTCTAGGAACTCGTTCGAGTTCCGTCGCACACGTACGCAGCACGTGACACTTCTTTGTGCGTCCGATGGCCTGAACATGTGCGAGGATATGTCAGGGTGCAACATGTTACTGTTCAGTCATCTCGCTGTTTTTTCCAGCACCAATTTTCACTCATTCAGAAACTGTAGTTATTTACCTTGCGTTAGGAACTCGTTTGAGGTCATTCGCACAACTACGCATCAAGCGACACGCCTTTGTGCGCTTGACGGCCTGGAACAGTGCGAGGATAGGCCAGGGCACAAGATGTCACCGCTTCAACGTCTCGCGTTTTTTTTTGCACCGATTCTACACTCATCCAGGTATTGTAGCCTACTACCATGCTATAGGAACTCGTTCGAGTTCCTTCGCACACGTACGCATCACGCGACACGTGTTTTTGCGTCTGATGGCCTGAACATGTGCGATGGATAGGTCAGGGCGCAACATGTTACTGTTTAGTCGTCTCTCTGTCTTTCCCACCACCAATTCTTTACTCATTCAAGCATTGTAGTCATTTGCCTTGTCACAGGAACTCGTCTGAGGTCATTCGCACAACTATGCCTCACGTGACACGCCTTTGTGCGTCTGACGGCCTATAACAGTTAGAGGATAGGCCAGGGCACAACTTGTCACCGCTTCATCGTCTCGCGTTTTTGTCTAACGCCTAATCTACACTTATTCAGTTATTCTAGCCTTGTACCATGCCCTATGAACTCGTTTGTGTTGATTCCCAACATCTACGCAGCACGTGACGCTTCTTTGTGCGTCTGATGGCCTAAACGTGTGCGAGGATTGGTCAGGGCACAACATGATTTTGTTTAATCGTCTAGTTGTAACGAAGAACCACCAATTCAACACTCATTCACCTACGGTAATCATTTACCATCACAAAGGAACGCGTCTGAGATCAATCGCACAACAACGCATCAAGTGACACGCCTTTGTGCGCTTGATGGCCTGAAACAGTGCGAGGGTAGGCCACGGCACAACTAGTCACCGCTTCAACGTCTCGCGTATTTTTTAGCACCGATTCTACACTCAGCCAACAATTGTAGCCTGGTACAATGCCCTATGAACCCGGTTAGTTCCTTCGCAGTCGTGGGCAGCACGTCACACTTCTTTGTGCGCCCGATGGCCTGAACATGTGCGAGGTTAGGTCGGGGCGCCCCATATAACCGTTTCATCGTCTGGCTGCTTTCTCCGCCACCAATTCTACACTCATTCTGGTTTAGGAGTCATTTACATTGTCATCGGTACTCGTCTAGGGTCATTCGCACAAGTACGCGTCAGGTGACACGCGTTTGTGCGCTTAACGGCCTGAACATGTTTGAGGAAAGTTCAAGGCGCAACATGTCAATGCTTAGTCGTGTCGCTGTTTTCTCCACCACCAATTCTACACTCATTCAGGTATTGTAGTCATTTACCTTGTCATAGGAACTCGTCTGAGATCATTCGCAGAACTGCGCATCAAGCGACACGCCTTTGTGCGCTTGACGGCCTGAAACAATGCGATGATAGGCCAGGGCACAACATGTCACCGCTTCATCGTCTCGCATTTTGCGGGGCGCCGATTGTACACTCATCCAGGTATGGCAGCCTATTACCATGCACAAGGAACTCGTTTGAGTTCATTCGCACACTTACACAGCACTTGACGCTTCTTTGTGCGTCTGATGGCCTGAACATATGCGTGGAAAGGTCAGGGTGCCCCATGTTTCCGTGTTATTGTCTGGCTGTTTTTTAAAGCACCATTTCTTCATGCACACAGGTAATCCTATCACATAACGTGTCATAGGAACTCTTCTGAGGTCATAAAAAACGACTACGCATTAAGTGACGCTCCTTTGTGCGTCTGACGGCCTGAAACTGTGCGAGGACAGGCCAGGGCGCAACATGTCACCAAATCTACACTCATCCCTGTACTGTAGTTAATTACCTTGCCATAGGAACTCGTTTGAGATAATTCGTACCATACCGCAACAAGTGACGCTTCTTTGTGCATGATAGTGCCAGAAACCTGTGCAGGGATAGGAGAATAGGCGACAATGCACCGTTTCATCGTTTGTCCGTAATTATACACACGCACCCAGTATTTCACACTCACTTAGCCTGGATTGGGCAACCGCGGAGTTCCGGCTATGGCAGATGTGTATTTGGCCTGTGTGTCAAGGAGAAGAATATTGTACGGGATAAATACATTGGTTTATGTATCAAATATCAAATAGCCACTGGTTGCATTTTTGGTGACCAATTTGCATTTGTGGTTATTCTCGATACAGCAATCTGCTCAGATCTGGAGTCGCGATGTTGTTTGTTCCCGCCAGAACCCGTTTCTCTTTCGAAATCAGTTCATCACCTCATCTCGAAGCCACCCATGGATCTGCTCTGTGTCGGTTGAAGTCTGTTCCTTACCTCAGCTGCCTAGCTCTTCGAATCCCATCGTGTATCTCCTCTGTGTCCTTTGGTTATCGTTCGCTCTCTCACCACTTAACGCTCCTGAGCTCTGCGGACACGCGTTTCACATCGATCCCGGACTGCCGCCATAATCTGGAGGCGCTTATCGCGCCGCGTCGGCTTGCTTCGTTTTCGCGCTGTGGTACCCCCCTAGCCGACCGCCTCACCATTGCGCGGGTGCGCGGTGCGACGCCGCGCTCGCCCTCCCGATCCACCGCCTTCGAAAATCAGGTGCGACGCTTGTTTTAAGAGACGTAGCGTCGGCACCTCGAGTAATGAGGTGCCCTCATGGCTTTACTGGCGCTACAAGCGTTGCGATTAGAAACTGTGCATCAGAGCTTGCGAAACCGCTGCATATGTTTCATACACCCGCACAGGGGTACCCAGGTGCGTTGCTTGGTTTACGGACATCCTACCGTTCTAAAAGATACGGGTAAGTTGAGGCGCTTTCCTACACACAAGGGGAATGTGAATGCGGTAGACGCCAAGAAGGTCCGGCAGATGAAACCGGAGGGTGCCTTTTCAGCTGCATCCCGTTTCTCGCTCTCGTCGCGCCGCGGATTCGCCGTTAGCCATTTGTGCAACCACTGTTCGCTCTATGTAAGAGCACTCCCTTGCTCTCTGTTCTCTCTCTTCCCTGTTTCGCAATACGCTATTTCCCGTGCACACGATCGGATCTCTCCCGTGCTCGCAGTCTGCTCTCTCTCGTGCTCCCGATCCGCTCTCTCCCGGCCTTGCAATGCGCTTTCTCCCATGTTCTCGATACAATCTCTCCCGTGCTCTCGAACCGCTTTCTCCCGTGCGCGCAATCCGCGCTCTCCCTTGCTCTCGATCCGCTCTCTCACGTGCTAGCAATCCTCTCTCCCGTGCTCTCGGATTTATCCCTCCCGTGCTCGCAATCTGATCTCTCTCGTGGCATGGCAGTACGCTCCCTCCCATGCTCTCAGTCCGATCACTCTATGTGTATCTTCCCCAGCAGGATTCCGTCGTCACACGGCAGGCCAGCTAAGAAGACTTCGCAAGTTGTAAGGCATCTACCATGGACCGACACCTTACACACAAAATCAATGTTGTATATGTTCCACGCAATGGCCGACACCACGCGTTTTTCATGTTCGTGGCGGATGATCCAATTCGAAGCCGGCCTGCAGCAACCTGTACCGCCCGTGCATCCAACTATAATGGGTGGTGGCAGGATGCGTTGAATCCGGACCCATTGCACACTCAAGAGTTGGGCGTGTTTGATGATGTACTTGATGGTTTCAAGGAGTTGTTTGACCAGTGAATGAACTCGTTGTCTTCTTGTATGCATGACTGGTACTGTCAAAGTTGCATAAGATGCGTTATTTGTACATTTGCCCACTCCAATCCTTAGACACACCATCTTATCCTTAGCTGTGTATCATCTCTAATCTGTTGTGTGCCACCTCCTCACGTTTTCCGTCCTCTCCCCTGCTCTACCCCTTCCTCTCCTTATCTGGCCCTTACTCTCCTTCTCTGCCCCCTCCTCTCTTTCTCTAACCCATCCTCTCCTTCTCTGCCCCTTCCTCTCATTCTCTCCCCCTTCCGCTCCTCCTGATCCTTCCTCTCCTTCTCTGTCCCTTCCCCTACTTCTACGCCCCACACTCTCATTCTCTGCCCCATCCTCTCCTGCTCTGCTCCTCCCTCTCCTGCTCTGCCCCGTCATCACGTTATCTCTCCCTTTTACAGCTTCTCTGCCCCATCCACTCTCCTCTGTCCCGTCATCTCCTTCTCCTACCCTTCTTCTGCTCCTCTGTCCCTTTCTCTCCTTCCCTACCCCTTCCTCTCATTCGCTGCCCCTTCCGCTCCTACTCTGCCCCCTACACTCCTTCTCCTCCCCCTCCTCTTCTCCTCTGTCCCCCCCGCCCATATTCGCACACTTATTTCCTTTACTCGTCCTCTTGGTTCCTATTATGTTTTTCAACGCACCCATCATGCAGTGGCGCAAATGGTTACCTGTCAAATATGCGGAAGGGAATGCAAGACACGGCAAGCACTGCTGGGTCACATGACCAACCCGGTTTGCGAGGCAACTGCCGCAGCTCGCAGTGCCATACGACGGTCCCCCGAAGCGCGTGGGTCCAAGCGTGCACGCCCTACATCCGTTCCATCATTGTCTTTGGGTGGTGGTGCTAGCGATGGCACCGGCATGCATGGTAGCGGACAAGAAGGCCCATCTGGTGGTTTAGGCCCTATGGACAACCATGAAGAGCATGACGGAGTAGCTGTGGGAAGCATGGTCCCACCCGGATTTGATACTGATGAGGCTACTGATAGTAGCAGTCACAGCAGTGAAAATGATAGCTTACCATGTGATGATGATAACTTTGGGATAGTGGCTGAGGAGGGGAGGCAAGAGGACGACGTTCACAGTTCATTTGAAGCTCCTCGTAGGAACAATATGGACGCTTGGGCACATTTTTTGCTTACCTGCCGCTTGTCCAATAGCCAGATCAATGCCCTATTTGATCTCATGCATGACGAGGACTTGGACATCCGCGACGTCCTCCGATGGAAGAATGTGAAGGATGTACATGCCTATGCAGAGTCCAAAAGACCGGATTCGCACCGTGGGTGGCAACGGCGGTTGGTTCGGTCCCAAGACAAGGCATGGCTGGAGTATTGGGCATGCGATGGATTAATAGCTCTCCAAGATCTACTAGCCCTCCCCCAATTAGCCTCTCGGATGTGCATGGTTAGTTCACCGCAATATGATGGCGAGAAGCGGGTGTACTCCACGCCGGAGACCGGGAAGTGGTGGGAAAAGTTGCAGGCGGAGGTTCGTAAGGTGGACCCGGAGGGCGTGGTGGCTGCTTTGATACTTGCGAGTGACGAAACACACATGGACCATCGTGGCAAGGCCAAGGGCCATCCGATGTACCTAACACTTGGAAACATCGACAAGGACGATCGATGGAAACCGTATGGACACGTCCTCCTTGCACTTCTCCCTGAGTACCCGCCAGAGTACTCGTCTCTTGACAGAACGGATGTCTTCCATTACGTCATGAACGATGTAATGGCGGGCCTCAAGAGAGCATCGCACACGGGGGTTAAGATGAAGAATGCAAAGGGCGAGACTATCCATGTGTGGCCGTCAGTGTACGCCCACATCACGGATTACCCGGAGTCTTGCAAGGTTACATGCACGAAATCTCTCGGCACCACATATCCGTGCTCCTTGTGCAAGGTACATAAGGACGAGCTCAAGCGGTTTGAGTTCCGGATTAAGCCTAGAACTCCCTCCGAGCAAAACCGTGTCGTGCAAGGGATGAAGCGTGGCACCATTGACCCCGAAACTAACGAGGCTCTCTCCACACACCCCGTTAAGGTATGGTTTCGTATATACCCGTCTATTCGTTTCGTGCTCAACGCGTTATTCCGCATCCATGCACCTACTAATTGTCCTTATACGTATGTGGTGCGTATTTGTGCCCATGCAGAGTTACCTATGGGGTTGGAGGTGGGAACACGAGCCGATGTTGAACCCGTGCCTTGCCGTGATGCCCGATATAATGCACCAAGCGGACTTGGGCATTCTTGAGCACATCATCGCTTCGATTCGCCACTATGTGCTAAAAAAAAAGAAGAAACCATCGTGGTTGAAGGAGTTTGATAAGCGGTTGAAGTACGTGAAGAGCATGCTACGGGGGGGGAACATGAGGCTACCATCGGGAGAGTACTTCGTGAAGGGTGCGAACTACCAAGCGTACGAGCACCGTTCCGTCATGCAAGTGCTACCCTTCTTGGTGCGAGGGATTTTGCCACAAAATCAATTGGACGCCATCATCGCCTACATCGAATGGTACCTCGAGTGCGCAAGGACGAGTGAGCACACAGAAGTGACACTCCTGGACCTGAAGAACAAGGCCAACGTGTATGCCACCTACCCCCTCTCTGGCCCCTCCTAACATTCTCTGCCCTATCACCCCGTCTCTGCCCCCACACCATGGTCTCTGCCCCGTCATCACGTCTCTGCCCCATCCCTACCTTCCATGCCCCATCGTCCCTTCTCTGGCCCTCGTGTATTTTTCTGCCCCACCATCGCATTCTCTGGCCATCCATCCCATTCCCCGCCCCATCACCCATTCTCTGCCCCCACACCATGGTCTCTGCCCCGTCATCACGTCTCTGCCCCATCCCTACCTTCCATGCCCCATCGTCCCTTCTCTGGCCCTCGTGTATTTTTCTGCCCCACCATCGCATTCTCTGGCCATCCATCCCATTCCCCGCCCCATCACCCATTCTCTGCACCCACACCATGGTCTCTGCCCCATCGTCATGTCTCTGCCCCACGACTACCTTCCATGCCCCATCGTCCCTTCTCTGTCCTCTCGTGTATTTTTCAGCCCCACACTCGCATTCTCTGGCCATCCATCCCATTCCCCGCCCCATCACCCATTCTCTGCCCCCACACCATGGTCTCTGCCCCGTCATCACGTCTCTGCCCCATCCCTACCTTCCATGCCCCATCGTCCCTTCTCTGGCCCTCGTGTATTTTTCTGCCCCACCATCGCATTCTCTGGCCATCCATCCCATTCCCCGCCCCATCACCCATTCTCAGCCCCCCCCATCATTTTCTCTGCCCCATTATTTTCTCTGCCCCATCACCCTAAACTCTGCTCCTCCGGTTTCTTTTTTTTTTGTGCATGCAGGATGCTACATGGCCTGCGCGAGGCGTTTGCTCAACCTTCAGAATGGAACTTCATAAAAATGCACCTCATCAGTCACTACATGGACTGCATTGAGCGCGCCGGTCTACCAGAGCACTACTGTGCGCAGCTGTACGAACACCTCCACATAGAGTTCATCAAGAACCCGTACCGTGCATCGAACAAGCGGAATGTGAATGCCCAGGTCGTGCAGAGCGAGGAGATGAGGCTGCGAATCGCGTCCTTGGCCCCGTCGTTGGAGCGGAAAAAGAAGTACGACACGGCGATGGTCAGGGCCCAACGCACAGGGGAGCGCATTCTCTCCCGCAGGAGTTGGTGCCTGCACGTGCCCGATACACCCGAATCCCCTCCATATGTCTTTCCATTCGCACCACAGGCTTCAAGGGACGTACCCCTACAGAATGCCATTGGGCCAGATCTTGCACACTTAAGGGGCGCACTCAATGCCGCCCCTGGGTGTGCAGGACGCGGCAGCGAGTTCAAACACATCAATGTGAGTAATGTTGCACCCCAATAGCTTTGCTATTTCATTTCACCACGAGCCTTCGTTGTGCTATGACTGCTGCCTGTCCTTTTTTTTTTTTTCCGTATAGTGTGGTAGCATCCGAATCCCTAACACCAAAACATCCCGTACCCCGAAATGGCAGGTTCATTGGGAGCTTGCAATGCCTGCTGCTGTCGACGCACCATACAGTCGACTGCCTCACCGGGTGCGGGCACTTCCATCCCACCATGGGAGGCCGTGGTATTCGGATGTCGCAGTGGAAGGTACTGGAGCTCGGGGAAGAGAGGAGTGGTACGCCAAGGTGCTGCTACTGTTCCACGTCCGCTTGGATGGCAGGGATAAAGGATTCGCCTTTATCAAATATTACCAGGCACAGAACGCACTAGACAGAGCCACAAAATGTACTTCACTGAGATGGGCACCCGAGCGAGATCGGTATCGCGTCGTCCAAATGGAGAGCATTAAGCGAGCTGTGCATTTGATCCAACCGAACGCTAATGATGATAGGTGGCTACTCAATAGGTTTGCATGGTAATCAATGCCCTGCATGCATGGTATATGACCGAAAGTCTGTTTAGTTGGCAGATGTACTTGCATACGCTATGGTGCACAGCATAGATTGAAACCCCCTATGGCAAGTTCCTTGGTTGAGCCATATGGTTGTGTGAAGAAACGACAACATATTGCAAACTGGCCTATCCTTGCACAGTTACAGGCCTTCGGACACACTCACTAGCGTCACGTGCTGCATAGTTGTGCGAATGAGGTCAAACCAGTTCCTATGTCAATGTAATGGATTAAAATATCTGAACGTTTGAATATATGGTGTTTAAAAGAACAACCAGATGTTTAAACGGTGACATGTGGCGTACATGCTTAACCTTGCACAGTTGCAGGCCATGGAATATGATGTAGTATGGAACTGTGTGAAGAAATAGAGGAAAAAAAGGCATCCAGACGTTGACGAGCTGACATGTTGCGCAGGCGCCTATCCATGCACAGATTCAGGCCAGCAAACGCACAAACGTGCGCCACGTGCTGCGTAGTTGTGCGAACGAGGTCAAACCAGTTCCTATGGCTAGAAAATAGGATGCAGTAGAGAACTATGTGAAGAAATAGTGCTAAAAAAGGCATTCATACGTTGGCGAGCTGACATGTTGCGCAGACGCCTATCCTTGCACAGATTCAGGCCAGCAAACGCACAAACGTGCGCCACGTGCTGCTAGTTGTGCGAACGAGGTCAAACATGTTCCTATGGCTAGAAAATAGGATATATTAGAGAACTGTGTGAAGAAATAGTGCTAAAAAGGGCATACATACGTTGGCGAGCTGACATGTTGCGCAGACGCCCATCCTTGCACAGATTCAGGCCAGCAAACGCACATACGTGCGCCACGTGCTGCGTATTTCTGCGAATGAGGTCAAAACAGTTCCCATGGCTAGAAAACAGGATGTAGTACAGAATTTTGTGAAGAAGTAGTGCTAAAAAAGGCATCCATACGTTGGCGAGCATACATGTTGCGCAGGCGCCTATCCTTGCACAGATTCAGGCCAGCAAACGCACAAACATGCGCCACGTGCTGCGTATTTGTGCGAACGAGGTCAAACGAGTTCCTCTGGCCCTAAAATAGGATATATTAGAGAAATGTGGAAAGAAATAGTGATGAAAAGGGCATCCATACGTTGGCGAGCTGACATGTTGCGCATGCGCCTATCCTTGCACAGATTCAGGCCAGCAAACGAACAAACATGCGCCAGGTGCTGTGTAGTTGTGCGAACGAGGTCAAACCAGTTCCTTTGGCTAGGGAATAGGATGTAGTAGGGAAGAGTGTGAAGAAATAGTGCTAAAATATGCATCCTGACGTTTGCGGGCTGACATGTTGCGCACATGCCTATCTTTGCACAGATTCAGGCCAGCAAGCGCACAAACAAACGTCACGTGTTGCGTAGTTGTGCGAATTAACTCAAACCACTTCCTATGGCAAGGTAATTGATTGAAATACCTGAATGTATGAAGAAATGGTGCTAAAAAAGACAGCCAGATGATGAAACCGTTACATGTTGCGTATTGGCCTATCCAAGCGCAGTTTCAGGCCATCAATCGCACAAACAAGCGTCACGTGCTGCGTAGTTGTGCGAATTAATTCAAACCAGTTTCTATGGCAAGGTAATCGATTGAAATACCTTATTTTGTGAAGAAATGGTTCTAAAAAGGACAAGCAGATGATGAAACGGTGACATGTTGCGTACTAGCCTATATTTGCGCAGTTTCAGGCCATGAAACGCACAAACAAGCGTCACGTGCTGCGTAGTTGTGCGAATTAATTCAAACTGTTGAGATAGAGGCGAGGAATGATGCACTATGGAATGAAAGAAGTACAAGTACCAACCCTAATTGGGTTGTACCCCCTATTGGTTACCCCACTACAGCCTACATATATGCATCAGCAATATATAATCATCTGACACACCCCCATAGGCAAAGTGGGGGAGAGCAAGGGGTCACAAGACCAGTCAAGCAAAGCAAAGCAAAGCAAGCTCAGGGTGGATCTCAAGGATACCACACAAATTCCGAGCACAAGGTCAAGGCCACAAGGCCAGTTCACATGCAGCAGAGCATATATATATAACAGTGCTAAACAAGCAAGAGCAAGGATATATATATGCAGCAGTACAAGCAAGGTCAAGAGGTAAGCAAGTGAGGCCCAGTGGGCACAAGGCCTAGCAGAGTGCAAAAGCGCTGATGGTCACGAGGCGGAAGTGCCTTGGTGAACACATCAGCAGTGTTGGCCTCAGTGGCCACGAAACGCTGAAGAAGCTGACCACGCTGCTGCAGCTCTCGAGCAAGGAAGTAGCGCAGAGCAATGTGCTTCGTCCTGTGCTCCAGTCTGTGCTCCTGACAAAAGGCAATGGTTGCCTTGTTGTCGACGTACAGCACTGGAGGAAAACGAGGCCGCTCTCCAAGGTCAGTCAGCAGGTAGGTGAGCCAGCGAAGCTCCTGGGCAGCCATGGCCGTGGCGTAGATCTCAGCCTCACAGCTGGAGCTGAGAACAGAAGAAGAGCGAGTAGAGCGCCAAGAGACAGAGCCAGAGCCAAGACTGAAGGTGTAACCCTGAGACGACCGCTGAGTAGCCTGGTCGTCAGCCCAAGAAGCGTCTGAGTGCCCAGTGAGCACAGGCCGCTCTCGCCCTGACTCCCACTGAGAGGAGTAGGGACCGGCCATCGCCTCTGCGTAAGAGCGTGGGGTCGGGATGTCTAGAGCATCCGGGTCTCCCTCAGGGGCAACAAGCATGGACACGAGATGGGGCAAAGCGGCGGCAAAGCACTGGAACTCCTCCTGCCTGTCCTCAAGGACGTCCGTGCCAAGAGCACAGTCACCACCGACGGACGGAGGACAGGCAGACGCAGACGCAGCAGACGCAGACTCAGCAGACTCAGGAACAAGACTAGCAGCGTAGTCTAGACGACACGCAGTAGCAAAGTCGACCAGCTCAGCAACTAGGGCAGACGCAGCAGCGGACTCAAAGGAAGGGTCAGTGACAACTGTAGCAAGAAGACGCGTGACAGTAGGACTGGCAACACGGCGAGAGTCCGACTCCGGGTCGGCAAGTGTAGGAAGAGAAGACTGAGGAGGAGAAGGCAAAGGGGCACGCAGAGGAGCAGTGGACGGACGCAGAGACATACCGTGTGTGCCAGGGATAGGAGGAGGACGCTGACGCGAACCGCGACCACTAGGGCGAGCAGCTCGGAATGGCGACGCAGGGCGGGACGCAGGCTCACGACGCTCAGCAAGACCTCCAGTAGGACCAGTGTAGGGAGAAGGAGAACGGAGGGGAGAGGCGGGCTGTAACTGTGACTGCGACGGGACAGGCCGTGGACACTCTACGGGAGGAGAAGGACCAGTGGAAGGCGGGAGACCAAGAACCTGCTGGAGGAGCGGAACGAAGTACGGCCGAGGCCGCGCAGCACCGCCAGAGACAGCCGGGACAGCACCAACACCTCCAGAGGCAGCACCAGTACCAGTAGCAGCTCCAACGCCAGCACCTCCAACAGCGCCAGAAGTACCCTCAGTAGGACCGACAGTCGTAGACTCAACGCCAGCACCCGCAGCAGCTCCAGCTCCAGAGGCACCCCCGGGCCCGGCACCTCCAGTACTCTCAGTACGAGCACCTCCGGGACCCGTGGTACCAGCTCCCTCGGCAGCAACAGAACCTCCAGCACCCGCAGCACCCCCAGCTCCAGCAGCTCGCCTCCAGCGCCGGGCAAACCACTCACGCAGCTCCAGAGGAGAGAGCGGCTCGCGGCGCGAAGAACGGTCCGGAGAACCACCAGGAACAGATGCAGCATGCGCAGTACTCCCAGGCGAAGCACCCCCAGGCTCAGCACCCCTAGGCTCAGCAACCCCAGGCTCAGCACCCCCAGGCTCAGCACCCCCAGGCTCAGCACCCCCAGGCTCAGCACTCCCAGTCTCAGCACCCCCAGGCTCAGCACCCCGAGGCTCCGCACCCGCAGCAGCACCAGAGTCACCAGTGACCTCGACAGGCTCGACCGCGTCTACCTGAGACACACCTGAAGGGGCAGGACCCTAAGGGGGGAGGGGGTCTACCGGGGGGGGACCTGGGACCAGGAAGAGGGGCGGCGGGGGGAGGGACGGAGTGCGGTAGGGGAAGAGCCGGTAGAAGGGAACCGACTCGTCGAACGTGACGTCCTGGGAGGACAGAACACAACGAGAGGTGGGGGGGTAAATCTGCCACCCAGGTGCGTCAGGGGGGAAACTCAGGAAGACGCAAGGAGCAGCACGACGGGACAGCTTGTCCGCAGACAAGTCGCGGACAAACGCCCGAGATCCCCAGACACGGAACGCCGACGCATCACCAACCTTCCTCGTCCACAGCAAAGCTGGGGAGGTCTCCGGTCTAGAGACCCTGGGCTGAAGGTTGATCTGATGCGCGGCGTACCGAACCGCAAACGGCCACAGAAAATGGGGGGCAGCCGCATGCACCATGGACGTA